GGGAGTCTGTGGTGTTTGCTGTCACAAAGTAAAGATGCTGGGAAAGGATCCCTCACCAGTGGCACATAGATCCTTCAAAACCTTTGAGGTTTAACAGCTTGCAAAATATGCTCTTGATTTGGTCGAATAGAAGATACCATTTTTACCTATTTTGTATTTCACTTTATGGTATCAATAAAGTAAATACACTTTAATACATGAGGCAATAATTAATCAGAACTAATTTTCATAAACACAGTAAAGGTGGGAATCAATACTAACACACACACACACACCTTTTGTTTAATTGAAGACAGAGAGAGTGATGTATTGTTTGTTTTTCCCCATGTGTGCCACCAGGTAGGCTCGCCAGCTCTGAGTTGGGAAATACCTGGAGATTTTTGGGGTGGAGCCTGAGCGGTGGGTGTTGCCTTCTGACACACTTCCAGTGATGTCAGGGGGTGTGGCATATGCAAATAAGTTATGCTAATGAGCTCCTGCACCTCTTTTTCTACAAAATGACCCCTGGTTCTCATAATCTAAAAGCCAACAGCCAGTATGGTATATGTCAAGCTAGGATCTGGGAGATCCAGGTTCAAACCCACACTCTGCCATGGAAACTTGCTGGGTGACCTCGGGCCAGTCACACACACCTACCTCCACAGGGTTGTTGTGAGGATAAAGTGGAAAAGAGGGGGACAATGTAAACCATTTTGGATCCCCTTTGAGGAGTAAGATGGGGCATAAATAAAGTAAGTAAATAAATAAATAAAATTATATATATAATATAAATAAATGAAAGACCCTCAAAGCAATGAAGTAGCCACAGTTAGCTGAATGTACACTAAGGGCTCAAACAGACAAGATAAAAAAAACCCCACATGTACTGGTCTATCTTGGAGATGCAAATTCCAGGTTCACGTGGCCTTGATTTGCTTCAGGCATATGCAAGAAATTGAGAGTAAGTTTAAACCTTTAACTGTACTATAGATTATTTGCCCAAAGACCAGAGCATCACTCAGATGTCGCTGATGTGATGACATCATTTCCTGTGTAACACCAGCCATGAGGCCTAAGCCTTTTCCTTTTTCCTGGAAAATCCCCCCCCCCCCGCCAGCGGGTGATTAGCAGCTGGAGGTAGGGCCTGTTGGCAGGTGACCCCTGCCTCCACTTATGGCGGGAACCCCCACCTCCACCTCCACGGGGGGGGGGGCGGTCTGGCAACCCTAAGATATTAAAGAACAAATGTAAAGAAAACAGTCATGAGAGTCTGACTGACAAATCAGGCAGTCAACAAGACTTGCAAAGAAAATGCACTAAGCCTGGGATTCGTCAGAAACTTAGCAGCATATTTGAGCCTGAATACTTATTGAGATCAGCATCCTATCTAAATGTATTATCTTTCCTGATTTTTTGTAAAGCACTTTATGAACATGTATAGAAATATTGATTTCTAAAAGCCCCTGCCTTCCCCTGGGATGTCTTGCTGATAACCTGCTGTGCCTTGTTTCCTGTTGAAGCCATATGGCCTCACATTTGGCCGGAGAAACTTTATAGCCCTGCCATATAACCACACATTCTTCACACTTCCATGCTGGAAGCTAGGCCAGCGTGCAAAAAGTCACATAGCCAATGGGGAGACTGGGGTTTGGGGTTTGGGGTCATCTGACTGCAGAGGGAGCCTCCAGACGTCCAGCCTATCCCCACTTGCACCCATGACAACCAAGAATTGGCCACCCCCCTGCCCACTCGCAATTGGCTGCATGGCCACAGCTGATTGTGACTGGAATGGGCCTATAACTGGTCATTCCCAATGGGAGAGAGCTCCGTTCTCTCTGCTGCTCTTGTGTTCTTGTTCCTGTTCGTGAGCTCTCTGCTCTTTGCTTGTTGGTTTATTGCACCTGGACATGTGGTCTATGGGAGAACAAAGACCTGCTTGGTAACTGGAGCACATGGTGTGCAAAAATGAACTTTCCCTTCAAGATTCCCTGGAGCCCTGGACTGTAGATGTTCCTGACATGGTAAATATGAAGCATTAATGTTCAGTTAAGGCAAACTGCCTTAGGCTTGTTATTTTGAAATCTTTATGGTCTAATTGCAATGTTCTGTGTTGAATAAAAACTTATTCTTGTTTTTAAATGGTCTCTGATGTTGTACCTGAATTCCAAGCCTAGATCTTGTGGCCTAAATGCTCACCATATACACTACTATTGAAGAGTAAAAAGTATGCATCTCTGGGAATGTGGTACTAATGTGTTAAGCCCTAGATGCTAGCTAAATGTCTGAACCTTGCTCTTGGGCTGGAAGGGGATTCTAGTTAAAAGAGTTTCTGGTGGCTTATTGTTCTGAATCCAGAGAGGGTAGCCTACCTCTCTGGGTTGTTGTTTAATGTATTGTAAAAGTATAGGATTCCCTCTCATTCCTGGACAGGCTTGAGGGGCAGAAACCTATACAGAACATGAGAGCTTTTGTACTACTCTAATATTTCCTGAGGAAGATCCAATTTTGAAACGTTGTTATATAATCCGGAGACGATATTGATGTATTTTTACACAAGGAGTTTCTTATGATTTGAAGGAATTTATTCATTGTGCTGTAGTGCTTGTTGACAATAATATACAGAAAGCATTTTCTTTGCAAGTCTTGTTGACTGCTTGATTTGTGGGTCAGACTCTCTTTGATCAGGTCATGATTAACCCTAAAATACTGCCAACTGGCCAGTATGAAAGAAGGTCTAAAGCAGCAGCACTCAGCCAGTTGTGATTTGATCTCAGGTGGCCTGCCAATTTTATATAAAATAGAGATGAAAGAGGGAATGCTTAGCTAAGGACATACTTCCCAATCTTTTCCAAGTCACCACAGAAGTGAATGGAGAACATATGCAAACTGATGGACAACTGCATTGGGTTCTTCTCCAACTAATAAGACATGAATGCCAACAAAAGAGACAGCAAAGTCAGCTCCCAAAAGTAAGGGAACAAAACAGGACTGAGTCAGAGAGCAAGGGAAGGCAGGGGACTTTCTTAGAGTTTCCCTGTACTTTTTTTGTAAAAGAATCTAATTTTCACAGAAAAAGTAGATTCCAGCCTCCTCTAAAGAGAATCCATTCACACATATTTTGCTTCTCAGGTTTTCTCTCAGTCTTTCCTCCTTGATTCTTTCTCTCTTCTGTTCCTTCCAGCTTACCAATTGATACAGTTACCAATTGGTTACTGAAAGCTGCACAGCACAGGCAAGACTCTTTCTTGTTTCTCCTTGTGACTTTCAAAACAGTTCCTTTTCTCTCCTTCATGTCACATCTTTATTTCTGATGCTGTAGACACTTGATTCACAATGTTCTTGTGACACAGAATCAAAAGATTGCCAAGTTGTTCCTGGTATTTAGCACAGGCAGACCCAAAAGATTTAGCTTATTACGGCTGCAGTCACACGCAACATTAGCCACGCAAGAGATACGGAAGACAGGCGGAGTTTCCGGGCGCGATCTCACCAGCACATCTGAGGAGCGTAGCGCTTCCGTGGCACAACCGAGGCTTCCTCCTGAAAACGCGCAGCAAAAAACTAGTACCTCGGAGGTACTAGTTTCCGGAAACTGCGGGGCAAGGGCGGGCGTCTGATCGCGTTTCCGGTGGCATCCGGCGCCCGCCCATGTCCCCTTGCGAAGAAGGGGTTTTTTCCCCCCAAGTCTCCATGGTTGCGCACACGCACCCAACGGAGCATGCGCATTTGTAGTGTACACAAAAAAAGAAACCCAGTTCGCCGCGCCGCGCGCTTCTTCGTTGCGCGCAGGCATGTGTTGTGATCGACGCCTCTCCGTAACCACGGAAGCTCCACGGTACCTCCACAGAACCTCCACAGGAGGTATGATTGCTTTACTGCGTGTTAGTTTGCCCCGGGGCAAACAGCCACGCTTCTCCCCCGCAGTTTCCTGCGCGTGTGACCGGGGCCTACCTTGTCCTGTGCTATTAAGACCAATCTGCCATATCTTAATATCAAGTTAATCCAAGCCAGAACTAGGAAAGGACAATTTCTTGCCACTATCCTCAACTTGTCAGCAAGTTAGCTGCACCCAAATATTTGTATGTCCTTTCCCCCTCTCCCACTCTGCAAAAGTATGACCTTTGTCCTGTCATGATGAGGAACTGAATTATCTACCTCAATATGAGCACAAGGTGACTTAAGATACTCAGAAGGAAAACTGCTTTCATCTTGAGAAAGATCAGTGCTTGTCACTGATATGCAGATACAGCCATCTGCCATGTTTTCCTCTTATCACTCTGGGGAGAAAGAAATAGGAGGGGGCACTTGTGGTTTTTGGCTTCCTCTCAGCAACAAGCAGAGCTACTCCTTGGTCTGAGGTGGAGTTAGATTCAGCTGAAATGCTGCTGATAAATTCTTTAAAAAGCCCAGTCATTTAGAAATTTCTGAGATGACAAGGAGACTACATATTCTGAATGCTATTTGGCCTTGGTGCTGCTTGGCACAAGATGTGGGTTCATCAGTAGCATTTGTGTGAAGAAAAGATTCTAAAGATTTGAGCCTTTGGAAAACAAAGTTTAAATAACTGAATCAGCAAATCAAACCTCAAGCTTAAATCTCTTTAATAGACCATTCTCTGTTAAGGTTGGTTTGTTTCAGCTGCCCATTTGTTTACCATTAACAGGGAGCTTTGAGACTCTGTAATTTGGAGCACAAAATATGGCATCTAATAATGTAGAGTCTATCTGTTTCAGCATTATTTTTTTAAATAAATTTCTAGTTTTCAGGATTGCAACACTAAATATGAGTCGACAGTTTTGCTTAATACACAAGATAATGAAGGCCTGGGTTTAGACCCCTGCTGATGTCTGTGTGTCTTTGCAGTCTTATTGTGTTCCACACACAATTTTCCCCGCAATCCTGATGATGATCTACAACAACATTCACTTCAATGTGCACCATGGCCTCTGGAGTCATGGCATTGTCACACAGCAAGCTATTTAGTGTGCAGCTTCACAGCAACAACAACAGCTGATACTCACAGTTGTGGCGTACTGAATATCTTTCCAGATGGAGGTCTCCCGAGAAAGATCCGAGGCCTCAAAGAGGTTCTCTAAGATCACCTCCCCAATCATGTCATGCCTGGAAAACCTGTCAAAGTCAAAGACACTAAGGTGGAGCTTCCTATTGGTTAACTCCTCATAGGGTACAGGAAACTGAAAGCACTCATCAAATGTGGGATTGAGAGTTTTCCTATGTACACGTGTCTGGAATTTGCACTTCCTGTCAGGCAGGAGGTAGATCTTGACATAGGGATCAGAGCTGCCACAGAGATCTTTGGCCGGCAAGTCAAAAGCTTTGAGGATTCGCACGATCAGTGTCTCATTCTCATAGTCATATTTCAAAGAAAAATTTATTTTCCCACAGGTTTTTTCTGCCTCTTTCTTGGGGTCCTCAGAGTCTACAGATTTCTGCTTGTACAGTTCTGGCTTGATCCGACCAATGCAAGTTGGCTGCTCTGCCACTGGCGGTGGTTCTGTGCCATAATCCACACTGGAGACATGCATCTGCCTGGGCAGGTGCCTCTTGAAAGAAATGTGCCTGCAAGATATAAGAAGAAGATCATGTGCTGTATGTGCTGGAGACGGTCTTGCTGAGTGCCAGTCCAGTGAGAACAAAAGATGGTGACTATATTCTTTTATTCTGGTTGGGATGGATTTAATTCCTACAGTAGGAAGGTCCTGTAGTGGAACATTCTTGAATTCAAGGAGAACACTTATGGTCCCTTCTTGCTCTAGGAATTAGACCCATGGCAACCAGAATACCAAAATCAGTGTTTACTGTTAAAAGAAAAATATTTGTACAAAGTTCCATCTTGTAAAGATGTGCATTTCAGCACGAACTTTAGGTCATAGTACAATAGCCATGAATCATCATCATAATGTGAACACTTTTATCTCCAATATTGACATAGTATGTATCTATCTCCCTTAGAATTATCATCCCCCTGGTGGGCAGGGGATCCCCCACCACCAGTGTGTGGTTGCTGCCAACTTTCACTGGGCAAGGAAGGGGGAAAATGGGTGGGAAAGTCAAGGGTGATCCTTTATGCTGATATCACTTCCCATGTGCTTGGAAGTGCAAACACCATGGGTCAGTCTAGCATTTGGGCAAAACTGTATGGTTAAACCACTGAGTTTTGTCCAAATGCTAGAGTGTCACTAGTGACATGCTGAATGTCACTTCTAGGCATTCTAGGGAGTAGAAGTGTGTAATAAAAAGGTATTTTTGGTGTTTCGGTATATTGAACCAAAAAAATGGTATTTTCCGATATTCCTGAATCCCAATACCAGTGTGATATTCGGATTCGGGAAATATTCAAGAAACTTGATCTTTTTTTTGCTACATTATGTCCAATGGGGACCATTATAGTTTGTGGTCCCCATAGGATAGAATGGAGAATTGAGCTGCAAGAGGAGCCAGTCCAGGATCAGCCAGGATGGTGGGAGCGAAGAGCTGCAAGAGCAGCCAGCCCCAGCCGAGGTGGTGCACAGCCCTCAGCTCCTGCTGCCCCGGCCGATCCTGGGCTGGCTCCTCTTGCAGCTTGGTTTAAACCGAGCTATAAGAGGAGCCCAGTGGTATAGCTGAATATACCTAAATAGAAGCAAAAAACATTCAACTTTTATTTGGGCTCAGCTATACCAGTAGCCAATCAGATTCTTCCATCTGTATTCAGCTAAAATAATACCCAAAAATACCTGTAATGGCAGTGCATTATGTTGCTGATGAGGCGCTCCCCCTGGTAAGTCCCCTGCTGGTTGCCAGGCCATGCCTGGTACGATGGCCCAGTCCACTTCCCTCCCTCAGAGGTAAGATTTTCCCTCTGTTCTTCTTTCCTTTGACTGACTGAGCTGCCATGGTGATATGTTCCCTTCTTTGCTGAAGAGCTCTGGCTGTCCCACCCTGTCACAGTATGATATGTTCATTGCTGTCTCAGCCTAGGAACCGGAGGGAAGGAATGGGAGCCCACTTTGCCTTAAACAACGTAAATGGCATTTGAGGTGGTTTGAAATTTTAAAAAATAGTAAAATACTTTAACATAGAGGGGAAAGGTCAGGTGAAACCAGGGGTTTAAATTTCTGAGGTAAAAACCAGTACATGCACAGACTTTAGTTCTTATGTTTCAGGCTAATGAGAGTTCCTTAAGCTTTTCCCAGTGACTTAAATCTTTATGTTGAGAGGCATTTGTTCCAGTGATTTCCCCAAACACTCCAGTATACTTTCTTTGAGTACTCTCTCACTCTTTAGGTTTCCAGAAGGCTGGTACACTCTTTCCAGTACTTAAACCCCTTCTCTTGAAACACCAATACTTGTCTTAATTTCTTCTAACCACACCAGACCAGGGATCTCTGCACCTTTCAGAACTACCACCCTGTTTGTCTGTTTGTCTGGGTAGGGAAATTCTCCTCTCACTAGAAGATCTGTCCCCTTTCTTTGGCTTGAATGGGGGGGTCTCTATCTAACTACCCACTGGTCCTTGGCAGCTTTCCTCCAGTTCTCCCATCTGTGTTAAACAGCTCTCAGTCATGGCTGAATTCTGAATCTGTCAGTACTTGACTCTTCTCAACTAGGGCTGAAATCGGACTGAATTATCCTCCACATCCAGTTCAGAAGTCTGAATGCTAACCAATCATGTCTCTTGGAGCAGCCTGTCACTTAAGGCTCTCTGTTTCTGTGAAGAATTAACTCTTCACAGTCCTTTATCTGTTTATACAGCACTTCTAAACTTTTAAAAGTGCAGTCCATCACAACCAATCTCTACTGTCAGATACCAAATTCCTTTCCTATGTATTTTCTTGTTTGTGAAAGAGTACTACATACCTAAAAGAAATGAATCAAGTCAAAATCATCCCAGGGAGCAAGACATGCATGTTTTCTTTACTGCTATTACATGCTCTCTCCTTTCCTACAGTACTGATTTTGATTTCAGCGTGTTATACATTTCCTAGTACAGAAAGATCTAGAATGTTTGATTCACTACTGTATATTTACTTTGAAGTCTGAGAAAACACTGGGTTATGTAGTATTGCTAAGGGAGAAAGTGTCAGGGCAGAAGGAGAAGAACAAACCTGACCTCTGACTTTGGAATAGTTGCTGTAATATTACATGGGAATCATGGAACTTGTTCAAGATTTGAGCTGTCTCCCCAAGGGCTTGGCTTCAATATGCAAGCATGCAATCTGAGGACTGTATGACAAACATACCCAAGATGCTGAACATGTCCTTTGCTTCCTTTGCCATTCTTAACACATGTCTGATGGAGGGAATATGCATTACAAAACATCTCTGCATAGTTCTAATAACAGCAGGACTTCTCTATAATTCATGGGAGAACTTTTCTAATTGTGTTTGACACCACTTTATGTTGTCCCCCTTTCATGACTTCAGCGAAGGAGCTTAATGGATGTGAATGACTAAGCAAAATAAGAATGGAGCAAGGCAGGTATACATCTGACAGTAGAGCTCTGTTGTTTTTATGAATTGTATTATAAGATCCTTCAAAAGTGATTTGCAGCGTTCTTGGCTGTTTGTAAGCAGACACTAACAGTGCTTTGGTTGATCCCTAAAGAGCAATCTGAGCTCAGTGTCATCATTATACATCTCTACAGTTATCCTTGTCTCTATGTGTGCAGTTCACTCTAACAACTGGACAGTATCTTCCTCTTTGTGATTGGGGCTGGGTATTATATCCATCCATCCACCCATCCATCCACCACTTTGTATGTAGATTACATTTATCATCTTCCAGTGAGTTCTGAGGAGCATTGTGAGCTAAATGGCAACTTTGTTTATTCAGGAAAGGAGGTTAACCTGACTAAAGACACCCACAGGGAAATCCTAATTAGAGTCACAGCCTTCTCAATCCATTGCAATCAATGGTTTTAGAGGGTGTAACTCTGATTAGGATTGCACTGTCAGTGAGAATTTAAACCTGTGTTTTCCCATATCTAAAGACTTACACCCTAGACCAGGACTTCCCAACCTTTCTCATCCTGTGGGAACCTTAGGAATTTTTAGAGGGGGTGGTAAGCGCTAATCCCAAATTGTTGGTAAGGAGGCACAGCCAAACTTAAAATGCCTGGTGAAGGAGGCAGAGCCTAACGCAGTACCCACCTTCTCACTTTGTAAAGAATCACAGAAGAGGGATAAAAAGATATGAATAAGAGCTCAGGGGGAAGAAGGGAGAAAGAGAAGGGGGAATAAAAAGAAGGAAAGCCTGATGAGGGAATGGAACCAGAAGCCCTGGTGTTTACCAGTCCTCCTGGTCCTGCACTGGCCATGACTGCTACAGCAGCCATGTGAAACCCTTTCATTGAAGTGAGGACAGTCAATAACAAGCCTGGGAAGCTTTCTCAAAAGCCTGGCAAGCACCAAGGGAAGTACTGTCAGGTGCCAGGGTGCCCGTGGGCACCTGCTGTAGCCAGTGTTAGACTTGTGCATGGGAGTTTGTTCATTTCATATTTTTTATTGATTTAATAAGGGATTCTTTCATTATTTATTTATTTATTTATATTTTATGTTTGAATTTATATCCCGCCCTACCCCGAAGGCTCAGGGCTGCTAACAAGGGCACCATGTGCTGAGGTTAAAACAGTAAACACATAGTTTAAAAACAATAAATTACAATAAAATACAATAACAAATTTACAAACAGATTTAGACAAGATGGGTAGATCTTAACTTCCAAACTACTTCCTAAGATCTTATCATCTAAGCCGTGCCCAGGCGCCTCGCTCCCCCCTTGGGGTGCCAAGCAAATGATGTTAATACGCCAGAGCATAGGGGGCAAAGGTGGAATAGTGGTGGCGGCAGCTCCTACTCAAAGGCCTGGCGGAAGAGCTCCATCTTGCAGGCCCTGCGGAACTGAGAGAGGTCCCGCAGCGCCCGGATTAGGTTGTTTCATATGGTTTTGTTTTGTTAGGGTTTCATTTTCATAAATCTTTTCTGTTATCATTTCCCATTGGTTTCAATGAAAGAACCCCCACGATTCATCCAAATCAGAAAAAACTCAAGGGCGAATTGTAGTATTCCCCAAGGAGACCACCACCAATGCCAAATTTCAGACAGACAGAAAAAAGGGGCCCTTTTTTGAGGCAATGAAATGCACCCATGTCCACTGGAGAATTGATAGGAAAGGTTCCAAACAGTATCTGACAGTACTGCAGCCACTTAGCTTGAACAGTATCACAAGGAAGAGGCATACTGACAAGGCAAAGGCATTTGGTGGCACAAGGAAGGTAAGGCATCTGAATAGACAGGCAGCAGCAGGAGGATCTTGAGCTAAATTTGCTTGGATGGGGGATAAGATTTGGAGAGCAGCAGGTACAGTTGCTAGGTCCACCTTGGCCACCAGCAGGGGATGGGTTGGTAGGGTTGCCAGATCCAGGTTGGGAAACTCCTGGAGATTTAGGAGTGGAGCCTGGGAAGGACAAGGATCTCAGTGGGATGCAATGCCATAGAGTCCTCCTTCCAAAGCATCCATTTTCTCCAGGGGGGTTGATCTCTGTGGTCTGATGAGCTGTAATTTTAGGAGATTCCCAGGTCCCACCTGAAGGCTGGCATCGCTTCCTACAAGCAAACAGGAGAATGCAAACTGAAAGAAAATTTGGCACAAACAAGGAAGGCATTGGGAGGAGAGAGGAAAGGAAAGCCCCCCCCATGTCCTTTGTGATTGGGATCTCTCACACACATATATGTGATCCTAGTGGCTAGAGCTTGCAGTCAGTCATGAAAGCCCAGAGCACCTCCTCCTCCCTCCATCTAAAAAACACCGTACAATCTCTATGCCCTTATCAGGAAAATGCCACATGCCTTATAAAAGTGAAACTAATAGTGACAGAGACTGCGATTACTAAAGAAACCATAAAAAAGAAAATCACGCCCCCCCTTATAGATGGGGAATTTGTTTCATTTTCATATTAATCATGCTAATTAGAACTCCTAATTTTCATAAATAACAAAAGAAATGCACAAGTCTAGCCAGTATATCACACTGCCTAGAGGGTTGGAAGATAGGTAGCTTACTCGGTTTATATTGTGTATATGCCTTCTTTTAGATCACTATGAGTAATCTTTTGCTGTTCTGAAGCTCTCACAGGCTTCATATTCAGTGGGAAACACCAACACTCTATTATGGGTGAAGTTTAGGCATAAAATTAGCACCAGTACAACAAGCGCCTAATTTTTAAGAGAACATTCATTCCCTTGAGGCTGGCTTGAAGAGAGTGAGAGAATCAGAGAGGTATGCAGATAACATCTTCAGGGACAGAGTTTTCATTCCTTTGGCAACAGCTTCTTGGCTGTCACAGAAAATGAGTCTTGGGGTCATTACACTGGGAAAATATGAGGAACATCTGAGGGACTATGCCAAGTAGACCTGACAAAGAATGTTGAACTGACAAATTAACAAATCACTGGGACTGGATGTTGTTCATAGTTCTTAAGAAATCAAATCAAAAATTTCTGATCTTTATAATCAAGTTAACCATTTTTTTTAAAAAAAATCCAGAAACTTATACCTTTTTCTGCCTTACCTATGTCTCAGGCAAAACTGTGGACACCTGGTGTGGCACAGTGGTTACAGTGTCAGAGTAGGACTGGGGAGACTCAGATGGAACCCCTACTCTGCGACTGAAGCTCATTGGTTGACCTTGACCCAGTCACTTTCTCTCATCCTAACCTAATTCACAGCGTTGTTGTAAGGGTAAAATGGAGGGGAGGAAAATGATATAGATTGTCCTAAAGCTCCTTGGAGGAAAGGTGGAAAACAAATACAATAATTAAATAGATGCTCTGATTTGGGGTCACCCAGTGAAACTGATCAGCAGTTGGTTCAGAACAGACAGAAGGAAGTACTGTTTCACACAATGCATGAATAACTGTGGAATTCACTACTACAGTATGTGGTGATGATTGTTTAAGGCTTAGCTATGTTTCATGGAGGAAAAGCCTACCAACAGCCATTAGCCATGATGTCAAAATGAAATCTTTTTTGTGAAGAGGCAATATACCTCTGAATGCCTGTGGTGAGCAACAAAAACATGTGAGGGCTGTAGACCTCTTGCATTCCTTATGGCTACCTGGAGACATTGGGGGGAGGGGAACTGGACTAGGTGAATTGGTGGTTAAAGACAACTGGGCACTTCCTCTTCCAGAAAGCAAGGGGATAAAAAAATGAGCAACGTTTGCCCTCAGCAGCCAACATAATAGCCTTTGCTCACCAGAAGGTGACAGATGTCTGGGCATATGTCACCACTGTACCACATGCCCAACTCCAGCAATGTCAGTCCACATTCACTGAAAGGATTCTCTGGGTTAGATATTAAATGTCAGTGATTATGGGAAAGGATTCTTAAATCCCAGGCTTCCCTCTACTTCCACATCCTTGTAGCCCCCCCTTTTCATTGTAACAAACTCTCGCACTTCATTTCTCCATCTGAGACTATAGTGACCCCAAGGCAGTGGCTGATCTTGAACACTGAGATGCAGCTTCCTCTTAGCCAGTTCAGTGAGTGATATGTCAATTCCATTTATCTAATTATTCCTGCTTTGAGCCACATAAGCAAGAAAGAGAGCAAAAGGCTGTAATTCCATTTGACAGAACGCCATGTCACTGATATCTCTCCCTGCCTCCCTGAGTCCAAACAAAATTAAAGTGGCCACAAGCATATTGACAGCTTGACACAATGAGGTCAAGTAACAGTAACAGGAGCTGAATCCTCTTTGGTTAAGATCAAGAACCCATAGGGAGACTGGTATATTACGTCTGCTGGTTCACCATCAAGCCAGCCTTTGGCAGGGACCAGCATGTAGTCAGAGGAGTCTCTTCCAGTGCCAGGAGATGTGTGTCAGCCAAAGATCTGGTGTAAACGCCCTTCAGTACAATTGCTTAACGATTTATAAGTGCCAAGAACCTTTTTTTGAGGAGGAAATTGAGTCAGACATCTACATAAGAGGTGGCCCATTACATCAAACAATAACTTAGGGTTTGACAGATTTGAGCGAGTAGTGCCACATACTCCTTATGTGAATATGGTCAAAACCTAAAAACATAATCAGAAATGGGTCCCCACATGACAATAAGTTCAATACACCTTACACTAGCTACAGCATTAGCCTGATTGTTCTGTTAAGCAGCTGCTCCAGAGTACATGGTTGAAGCTCAATAAATGTTAAAAGAGTAATTCGACCAAAGCTTATATCACAATAAATTTATTAGTCTTTAACATGCCACAAGGCTTTGTGTTGTTTTGGAAGTAATGATAGGATTTTTGAACACTCTTCTCACTGTATGCTAAAAATAATTCTGACCACATGATGGAGCAATCGGATGATCAGTTAGCTGCATAGCAAACCATACTTGGCTCACTTCATACAGAGTTCAAATTTCTGGCCATTGCCATCCATGACTCTGGACTTAAGTTTCTTGTATGTGTAACACAGACCAATGTTCCATTTTTCTTATGAGAATGAATATTAGTGATTATGTGATGTTTTCATGGAGTTGGATGACTGGTATAGAAAGGGAGAGCTATAGATGCCCATACTTTGTGCTGGAATAAAAATATAGCAATGAACAGAGATCACACATATTTGATCACACACATATTTGATCAGAGAGCCCCAGTGGAGATGCTAATTTTCCACAGGCTTAGACTTAGCTACTAGACTTCTTTGACAGTCCTACAGATCATCGAATCAGGTGAACTTCATTTACATTTTAAAAAGTAAGCTCTTTGGAGATCACTCCATCTTTCAGTACTTTGTAAAACAGGAGGGAAATCAGATTTAGGAGGAATATATCTAAGCTTGAAGAAAGCAGAGGTACTTCAGAGAAGTCTTTGTTTACTATTCCTTACAGCTCCTCTGCCCTCTCTAGAACTTCTAGCCACCTTTTCATTACTACTGTACTTCCAAAGTGGTGTTTTTGTATCTCCAGAAATGGCTTCATCAGGAATAAGAAATGCAGTACTGTGGAAACTTTGCAAATACAGGTTAAAAATACCTTTGTTATGCAGAACACATTATTTACACCAGGTTGTTACTGAATACTTGCTATTACCCTTTATCCTTATTGGCTTTCTCTACTGTTCATCAGTCTCAGTTTGGAATGACTGGAATGCCCATAAATTCAGGCTAAGGAGTTATGGGAAAGTATGTTTCTTACATCATCTAGGAACCCTAGCAGTAGCTACAGCTGCTAATTCCACGAATGGTTTATTCTTCCCTCTTTAACCTTTCCACTAGAGGGGGAAAGTAATACTTTATAAGGACTTGTATTTGGAAGGGATCCATCTCAAGCTGAAGTACCAAGCTAAACTTACTGTCATTTGAAAATTATTGCCAGATGTTTTGACTGGCATTCATATGAATCTGAATTTTGCAAAGGCTTTACTTGAAGCAAATGCTTCCACAGTTACTAAAACAAGTCTATGACAACCAATAACTCTTTAATTAATGCATGGGGGGTTAGGGTTGCCAGGGACAGGGGAGAGTTATGGGGGGAAATCATAATTATATAACAAAAATATACATTTTTGTTTCAGTACTCACTAAGCCATGGAGAGGTTCCAGATTTGGTTGTTGGGAAAATATCTCTGTGCTTGGCCCTAAGGGACAGATTTTCACCAGTAAATGGCAGTACAGCAGAACTGGATACAGCAGGGCAGGCATTACTGCCCCATTGTCTCCAACCTTAGAGGCCCTCTCCATCTTCAGCATCTCAGAAAAAAATGCCTGAATCATCTAAGCTAATAGGCAGCAAACCAAAGGATCACTCCGCACTCACCTGGTGGAAGATGCTGGTTCTGTCGTTTGCCTCTGCATCCGTGTACGCCTCATGAGGTGGTCTTTCATGGACATTTGGACCTCTGCTGGAATATCTGGTGATGTATGACTGATTTTTACAGCTGCCTCCAAAAAACCAATGGTGCCTGTGTCCTTTAGCTTGTCAGCCATGGTCTCTTTCTCGGGTTCTGCCGAAAACTGGGAGGCAGAGGTGTTAGTCGAAATAGCCTTATTCCTCCAGGGCACCCAGCACAGCTTCCAAAAGAGAAAGAGAAAAACTGCCACCAGGGCCAGTCCACATACAATAACTATCACTGCAAGGAGGCTGATGGAGAGCTCTAGAGGGCAGGAGAAGGAGACAATAGTGAACAGGATTGGGCAGAGAGTGGGGAAGAGATGTCAGAAATGGGTAGGAAAGCAGGAAAGGGAGGGAGAAAAGAAAAGAGTGTCTGTGAGAAACCCAGAAGGACAAGAACAGAAGCCTTGCGCAGATTACAAGAAATCTAAGGTAAAACAGTGAGGAGAGGAAAGCAGGATTATGCCTGCTCGCCCTCTTTTTGAACTCCTCATGTTGACCAGGGCTTCTGAACAGAATCTACACACAGATAAACTGAACAGACATATATTCTCTCCATGTAATTTCTACTCTGATTGCCTAGTAATGGATGCATGCATACAACCAGTATTCCTGTAAACTAAACCAACACAGCCCTGTTCATAAGTTACAGTAAACGCATGTACAATAAACACTTGATTTTTCTTCATACATGCATTGAGTAATTCTCATGTTACAGTGAATGCATGTACAGCTGAACGTGTGATTGAAACCACACATTGATTCAGGTATTGGTCCCCGGTTCCATTTGTAAACTGCACACTTAGGCACTTACAAACATTCACACACACGCAGTGCATTCACTCTAACACGTGAACTGGACTTCTGTGGAGGGCTTCAGCGCCCCATCCATGCATTGCTTATGTTTGGATTTCAGCTCATCTGCACAGAGCTGTCCAAAATGCTGTCTGTTCCCCCTCAGATGCCCTGTTCATGAAACTGTAAAAAGAGTGACTGATAACCATACAGGGAAAATATCAGGAAAATCAGATTTTTTTTTCCAAAAAGAGATGTTTTAAATTTTCTTGTTGGATTATATATTTTGGCCCAACTGAAATTACTATACAGACATACACTAATTGACCATTTCTAGCAGTTTCTAAAACACTGGAATATATTATGACAGCTCTAACTTAATAGCTAAGTTTTCAAACTGTCAAGTACTCCTCTTGTGTTTAAGATAGTAAAGATATTAGCAAAGTGCACAACAGGGCAGCCCTTCATGTACAGAAGTAAATGGCACATATGTGGACAAGATGAAAACTGGCGCGTGCTCATGCATCAAAGAGATGGTAAGCTGGAGGGGCATGAAGGAACGAGTTTAAAAGAGGGTCCCAAATTCACAAGTATCATAAGCACTGGCCTAGTGAGATCACATCTTACACATAATAGTATCCCCTTTTTAAAAAAAACACAGAAACCAAAAAGCAGTGGCCATTTCTACTCACAATGCCTTGGATCCTTTGGTAAATGTCCATTAATGGAAGGGATTTGTGTTAGCTCTCATTCCCACTATATCCTGAAATGTTCCCCCAAAGACTGCTCCTGAGGGAACAGAGGACACCTTCAGGAATAGCATTTGGGGATCTGCAACAGGAGAGGAAAATTGGCCTTCCATTAGTCGGAAATTTACTACAGGTTCTATGCTATTAACTCAGTACATGAAATTGGCCCATTAATCTCTTTACTCAAAGTCTGAATAAACCAAGGTGATTAGCAGAGCAACCCTAAGAAAGTGGGGAATCAGAATAGGGACCTGACTGATGCCTGTCCTAGAGTAACTCTTTTGGCCCATATGCAGGTGCTGGGCAGTTTATGCTGGCACAGGGTACTAGTGCCACTGTGCTGCTGAGTCCCACTGGCACAGAAGCACCGCAGCCACGTGCCCGCAGAGCAACAGCACAAACCCCACTGCCGGCATAGATGGGGTGTTCCAGGGGGCACGGCACCTTCCAAAGTGCTTTCAGTGTGGGAATGCCCCCTCCCAAGCAGGTGCAAAGTTGTGCTGGCAAAATGGCATCATAGCCCATTGACAGCCATTCCAATGCACTTCCCCCACACACACACACACAGCTGTGGCCATGCCCACAGGACACCAAGCAGCTGAGAATACTGACTGTGGTGGAGCATGCCTGCTCAGGTCTGCAGGCCCTATTCCACCCTGCACTCCTAGGCATTTCTCCACACCTGGAGGGGCTTTTCTTCCACTCTCAGGGTAGTCCACCTGATCATTGTAGGGATTTTCCACTGGGAGGATCAGGAATCCCAGCTGCCCTTCCCAGTTCCAAGGCTTCACTTCTATGTCTCCCGCTGCCCAGCACCTGGTCCCCATGGGGACAGTTTAGTGCCTTGCGCACCCCTGGAGGAATAGCAGCTTGCCGACTGCCTTCCTTCCTCTCTGGTGCCCCTTTTAAAATAGCATGCCTGAGATGGTGGAGGTCTATGTGGTACAGAGAACCAATACCAGCACCAAATGTTATAAAGTATTTATTAAAAAGGAAATGTTTGCAAGCATACTTTTAGCACAGCACCAAATTGAGCAAGGGATCCAAAAGAAATTGGATATAATGGAAATCCTCTGTCCCTCTCTCTATACATGCCCTATCAAATGTTAAATTAGGACAGGCTCCTTTAGCTTTGTTGTTGTTGTTCAGTCGCACAGTCGAGTCCGACTCTTCGCGACCCCATGGACGAGCTCTCGCCAGGCCTTCCGATCTTCCGCCGTCCTCTGAAGTTGGCTCAACTTCATGTTCGTTGCATCGATGACACTGTCTAACCATCTCATCCTTTGCCGTCCCCGTCTTCTTTGACCTTTAGCTTAGGAAGTTACAAATCCCTACAGAGTTCCATTACCATGAAGTTTCTTTCAGCTCTCCAGGTTAGCACATGGTCAAAATGGCTGCCTGCTCCAGAGGAGAGGTCTGTGTGTGTCCTCCCATGTACTCAGCATCCCAGGAAAAAAGAGACCACCTTCCTGTTGCAAGGAGATTTTATCATCTTCATTACTCCATCCCACTTGACCTGGTCAGGCCAGGTCAGAGAAGTGTTTCCTCCAGCTCCTCGCTGGAGATTATCCCTGGAGCTGATCTAGCCTAAAGTCCTCCAAACTATGTTCCCTGCCTGAAGGGAGAAGCAGAAAACGTGCACATCCTTTTGTCTAGACTTTTAGCATTTGTATGAAGGTGGGCTGAGGCACAAGTGAATTGACTTCCTCCTCTGCCTAGGGGACAAAGACTGTTAAAATGCAAAGTGCAGGCTCTGCTCCTTGCCAGCCTCCCAGGAGAAAATGCATTTCTTCACACTAAGTGTGCACCCAATCAGCATGCTCCCCCACTCTAGCCATGCCCCTCCTGAGGACTCAATCGTGTTTCCCCCACTCTACAAATGGTTCCAGGAGGTCTCCCCAGAGGCCAGATGCAGCAAAGATCCAGGCACCATGGACACTGTTTGGGAACTTGGCCATGAGGTCTGTAAAGATGCCCTGGTGGTCACAGGAGGCCTGAACATTCAGGCTGTAGAAGTGGTGGGGACTAGGTTATACTCATGGCTCCTCCCCAGGGCTGATGAAGGCTATGTGGGTGCAGTCAATGGTGCCCACTACATTGGGGAAGCCTCCAAAGGATGCAAACCCTGCCTTGATGGGAGCACGTCTGCCATCCTCAGTGGGGAAGTGCACATGCTCCTGGAGATGCGTCAGCATGGCATACAGAAAGCTGTGGAGGCAGTGGCTAGCCGAGGACTGCAACATTTTGAGTACCTCTGTCATGACCACCAGGAAGTATCCAGTAGCAAGGAACCTCAGGGAGAGCAGAAGTTTCTGCAAGATGGAGATGGCATATGGAGCAGGATCTAGGCCCTGGAGGGCTGGCTGGGGCTTGTAATGAGAGCTGGTGTCTGTAATGGGTGTGTGCAGCAAAGGAGGAGCATGGCTCCTGTGGCCTGCCCCTTCTATACCCCCTGCCAGTGATGGACGCTTGGCTTGGCCTCCTCAACACATGACTCCCATTGATTCTGCCTGCCCTGTCTATCACATCGCCCCACCTAACAACAAAGCCGGAATAGAACTGTTGGGGCACCTTTTTCCCATTCAACTGCCACATAACTATCCCCTTAGGGAGGCAACTAGCAGCACCACAGCCATGCCATGACCAGCTGCCACAGTGCAGACACAACACAGTATTGCTCTGCCCATGATATCAAGGTCTTGAGTGAGTTCCTTGGTGTGGGAAATGGGGACAGGCAAAATAGCATGCCCTCTCTTCTGATTCCAAAGATACCTATCCTTTCCAGCAACTTTGCAACAGGATTTCTCATCCTCCCTCTTTTAAGGGTGTTCTGTGCTTCCCTAATGAACTGAGGGCACAGATGATCATGACAGAGACCATGGAACTACCTTCCCTGTTTAAAAGGCAAAATGCACCCACAGTGTGAATTAGAACCTGGGTTTCAATTGACAAAACCAAGTGAGGATTGAAGATGTAAAGTCCCTCTCCCTTTCCTGTGTCGCCCTGATTCCTTGATTAAATTTGCCTTTTACAGAGAGATGGGGATTTGAAATTTTTCTCACTTGTGTGCCTTGAGAAGAAGAGCCATAGGCAGAAAAGTGTGCACTGGGTGGTAAGGGGTGGGTGGGGAGTTCTGCACCATAAGGCAGAATTCTGTAATAGGAATTGGTTTGTTTTGGGATTTGGGGCAGTCCCTGAACTGAACCCTGAATCAAATGGAGCCAAACAGACCCCACCCAACCAAATCAGTATGGGAAGCTCAGTTCCCCATTTCTCCCAGCTGCAGCTCACCCTGGCCAGGAAAAAGGGGGAGGGGAATCATCCTGGAAGGGACTCCCACTTTTCTCCCAGCCAAGGCTCACCCTAGGCAGGAAAAAGGGGGTGGGATTGCCTGAGAAGGTGCTTCCCATCTCCCCCTCTTCTTGCTGCACAGCTCTCCCCGCCAGCTCAGCAGTCTTGGGCTCCCTCCTGCAGCTCATTTAGACCAGGAGGGAGCCTGTTTAAAGTGGTTACACCACAGAGCCAGAGGCAGCTGAGCTGATGTGGACTGTGGAGAGCCTTCTCCATGCCAGCCCAGATGTCTCAGGCTTGCTAATGCAGCCCATTTAAAGGGGCACCTCCAGGGAGCTGGCAGATACCTCTGGCTCTCTGGCATGGCCAGGGTCGGATTTAGACTTGCTGAGGCCCTAAGCTATACAAAACCCAGAGGCCCCCTACTGTTTTAAATTACATTAGCTTGTCTCAGAAAAATTTAAAATATATATGCCTTTTTAATATTTGAAATCATTTTTATATTGTGTTTTTATTTGAGGCCCCAGCAGATTGCGAGGCCCTAAACTGTAGCTTATTTAGCTTATGCGTAAATCCGGCACTGGGCATGGCCCTTTAAATGCCAGCAAGCCCAAATCAGCTGGGCCCATGAGGAGAAGGTTCTCTCCGCCAGCAGGAAAATCCACTTTCTCCTGGCCACTGCTTGCTGCAGCCAGGAGAAAAGTGGAAGGGAGTAGAAGGGAGACCCCCACACACACTTTCTCTCAGGAGATTCCCCACCTTTTCCCTGGCCATCTGGAGAAGGGAAGCCTCAAACTCAGCTTAGGGGGAACACTGGTCCTATGTCTGGCTGCAGCCATGAGTTAATAATAACAGAATCCTGTGACTTAGAGGCATATTTTTTTCTGGAGGGAAATGTTTTGCCTTAACCTAGCTGGTTGAAAAATCCCACTTGTCCTTGTATGTTTTGCTTTTTAGAATAAATTATTTTTAAATTATAGACAGTTCTGCCCTGAGAGCTGGACTTGACGAAACATCAGCCCCAGAGTCACCATTTTGAAGCAGTGAGTTCCCACCTGGGGGAACTCCTCTTAACTGCACTGCGGGGCCCAAGAGCACTGGGAAAAGGGGCTTCTGTGTCCCCCTCTGTACTGCGTTTTCCAACCTAAAATGTCACCGGGGGAGCATTATTTGCCCATATGCCCTCTCTAGTGCCTTTTGGTTTCAGAAAAATGGCATGGGGGAGAGGCAGGAACAGGCCTGTAGCCAGGATTTTGAGGCTTGTGGGGCAATTTTTTTTCCTGGCGGGGCTGAAGTTCTCGGTGCAGAAAGAAAAGCCATTGAGCCAAATAGAAAGCTGTGACCACGATAGATCTCTGAATTGCAAGCTGGCAACCGCTTCACGTGGCAGTTCTCAGCTGCTGCAAGTCCATCACTTCTGCCAAACTCATCAAAAATTCTGAGAACAAGCCGGCGGGTGGGGGTGATGACTTCTAGAGTCAAGGAAGCTGACACTTAGGCAGAAAAAACACGTTGAAAGGAGACCAGTCTCTTGACACAGAGTTAGAAGGGACCCTAGAGGTCACCTACTCCAACCCCCTTGCTCAGTGCGGGAATTAGTCAACTGCAGCACCCCACTCTGCTTAAAGGAGCGCACACCTTTAAAAAATATTTAAAAGTAATTGAAAAAAGCATTTTTAGGAGAAATTCTTGTGGGGCTGTGCCTTTAAGAAAGGGGGCAAAGCCCCGCAATCCCATCTCCCTTTCTCCTTGCTGCACAGTGATCCAGTCTCCTTTTCTCATAGCTGGCGTAGCCCATTTAAAGGGGATTTGCTAGGGAGTCAGAGGAAACTGCTGGCTCCCTGGCATAGCCCCTTTAAACAGGCAGCACAAGCGAGCCCAAGACAGCTGGGCCAGCGTGGATAAGGTTCTCCATACCGGCTCAGCTGCCTCTGGCTCCATGTTATAGCCCCTTTAGATGGGCTGCATGAGGGAGCCCACAGCTCGGACAGTGAGGAGAGCTCTCCTTGCTGTCCCAGCTGTGGGTTTCTTCTTGTAGGCTGGTTTAAAAGAGCTGCATGAGGGAGCTCAAGACCACTGAGCTGGTGGGGAAAGCTGTGCAGCCAGGAGAGAGGAAGATGGGATTGGGAAGCCTCTTCCCCAGTGATCCCATCTCCCTTTCTCCTGGTTGGTTCAGCCCATTTAAAGGGGCTAATGCCAGGGAACCAAAGGCAGCTGGGTCAGTGCAGAGAAGGCTCTCAGTCCTGGCTCAGCTGCTGCAATGGTAGGGAGAGCTCTCCCTGCTGTTCCAGTTGTGGGGTCCCTCACGCAGCCCAGTTTAAAGGGAGCCCAAGACCCCTGAGTTGGCAGGGAGAGCTCTCTACCAGGGAGCCCATAGCTGGGCCAGTGGGGAGAGCTCTCCCCACCATCTCTGCTGTCTTGGGTTCCCTCCCACAGCCCCTTCAAACCAGGCTGCATGAAGGAGCCTCCCACTGAGATGGCAGGGAGAGTTCTCCCCGCCTCTTGGCCATTGATTTAAATAACTCTGAGCCATTTA